GGGTCATGGCCACCAGCACCAGAGCCTCAAAGAAAGACCACAGCACCACCCTGCTGTTCGTGTTGTCATTGACTAGAGGACACAGACAAAATTAGACAGCAAGTTTAATACACACAGGCTAAAAACAGATAAATAAATAATTCAAATAGTAATAATTCTAAGTCAATTTAAATATGCATTTTAGCTGGACTCATGTCATGCTAAAATAAAAATAAATAATTCCATAAATATTCCAAAGTCCATTTAAACATACAAATATTTGTTCATGTCATGCCAAAATTAATTGAATTTTTTTTTAACAAGTATATTTTTGCTGGGTTCACGTCAAAATTAAAAATATATATATATTTACAATAATAATAATAATAATAATAATAATAATTCAAATGCCGTTTAAAATATTTTTGCTGGGTTCATGTCATGTGACGTGTTTATGTCAAAATAAAAAAACTAAATTTTCAGGCCATTTAAACATGCATATTAGAGCTGGATTAATGTAATGCCAAAACTAAAATAATAATTCAAAGACCATTTAAACATGCATATTAGAGCTGGGTTCATGTCATAATGTAAAAAAAAAATAATAATAATTCTACAGGCCATATAAATATGCACATTACAGCTGGATTCATGCAATGTCAAAATTGAAATAATATTAATAATTCAAAAGCCATTTTAAATATTTTTGCTGGGTTCATGTCATGTGACGTGTTTATGTCAAAATAAAAAAACAACATTTTCAGGCCATTTAAACATGCATATTAGAGCTGGATTAATGTAATGCCAAAGCTAAAATAATAATTCAAAGACCATTTAAACATGCATATTAGAGCTGGGTTCATGTCATAATGTAAAAAAAAAATAATAATAATTCTACAGGCCATATAAATATGCACATTACAGCTGGATTCATGCAATGTCAAAATTGAAATAATATTAATAATAATTCAAAAGCCATTTTAAATATTTTTGCTGGGTTCATGTCATGTGACGTGTTTATGTCAAAATAAAAAAACAACATTTTCAGGCCATTTAAACATGCATATTAGAGCTGGATTAATGTAATGCCAAAGCTAAAATAATAATTCAAAGACCATTTAAACAATGTAAAAAAAAAATAAAAAAAAATTCTACAGGTCATATATATATGCACATTACAGCTGGTTTCATGCAATGTCAAAATTAAAATAATATTAATAATAATTCAAAGGGCATTTAAACATGCACATGGGTTCACTGTTTTTAAAAACCCTGCAAAATAATAATTGCGTAAAAATCAACGACGACAGCGGTGGTGATGTGATCAGTGCGGATGTCTTACTTGCGCGGTGTATTCTCTCTCGGACCTCCATGTATTCCTGCTCATGTTTGACCGCCGTCATGGCAACCGCCAGCTCGTTGATCATCTCCTCCAGCTTATTCTGATGAGCTGGAATTAAATGTATCGCGATTTACTCATAATGATCATATCTACGCAAACATTTCTGCTTATGCAGCATGCAAATACAAAACCAATTTTTACAAACAGCAATATAAAAGTTTGGAACCAACTGTGAACGTCTCCGATACACATGCGAGAGTCATAAACGGCTTTAGTTTTTTGTTTTCATTAATAAAAACACTTCTGTATAGAGCATAAATGATAAATACCAGAATAGACTTCAGTTAAAGGGGTCCTATTATGCTTTTTCACTTTTTTAATTTTAGTCAGTGTGTATGTTTGGGCATAAAAAAGATCTAGAAAGTTACAAATCTCAAAGTCCACTCCAAAGGGAGATATTTCGTTTTTAAAAAATCCCTTTTCAAGAACTACAGCGAACGGCTCGTTTGGACTACAGCGTTTGTTTTCCGGGCTTTGTGATATCACAAAGCGGCCCATTAGAATATCATTAAAAATAATTCCCACCTACATAAATTTGAATGGTTGGGGGGTGGGGAGGGGCGAGGTTGTGGTTAGAACGCTTGGTTGAGTGAGTGCATCAGACGAGACGATGTTTTCGAACCACCAAGCATGAGAGCATGTTCTAGTACACCGCCAAAACAAAATCAAGACTTTGTAAAAGAGCATAATAGGACCCCTTTAAAAAATGCAAAACAGGCAATGATAACTTCAAATGATAAAACACTCTTCTATGATCAAACAACATTCATGTTATATCTGTAAACAAAATCCACACCATACTCTCTTTAGGGTTCAACAATATTTTTATGAGCACATCAGTCAGTGAAATGTTCAGCTCATTGGCCACACTGTCTTTATACACACAGGTGCAAATTTAAGTGCAGATGCAGTTAGACTGATGTTTAAAGCTCAACAGATGTTAAAATGATCTACTGTACAGTCTATTCCTACCATCCCAGCTGTCACCGCCTCCTGAACAGGGAAGAAAGCACGTTAGAGGAAAAAAAAAACATGTTAAATCATAATTTCAGCACTGTATAAGTACTAATTTTTTTTTTATTATTATTAATAAATTAAATATTAACAATATAGAGGCATTTTAGAATTGAGATACAATTATAGGTTCCACTTATTTTGATTTATTTATTTGATTGATTATTTTCATTTTAACTTTAGTTAAAATAATTTTATTCGTTTTTTTTATTTTTTATATGTCTACAGTTTGAATTTTCATGTCAGTTTTAATTATTGATTAGCTGGAAATAAATTAATAGCAATTTACTCAATGATTATATCAATGCAAACATTTCTGCATATGCAGCATGTAAATTCAACAACATTATAATTTTCACTTATTTTTAATTCGTTTTTATTTTTATATTTTCCATTTTCATTTCAGTTAAAGTTTTAGTAATTTTGTTAGCTTAATTAGTTTTTTTTTTCTTTTAAATACGCCTATATAGTTTTTTAACTAGCTAAAATGATTAGCATTTTTTGATATTTGAGTTCAAGTTATTCATTTCAATCAATTAATTTTTACTGTAATAACCCTGATATATAGAAATAAAGAAATTTCAAGGCAACTGAAATATTTTAGAACTAGGCAGAAAACCTGACATTCATTATAGAAATGTCAACAAATATTTTATTTTCCATGACTTTTCCAGTTGCCTGAAAGATTCCTGGTTTTCCGAGACTGTGGGAACCCTACCATATGGAGCAAAAGAGAGCACACTATGAAAAACAAAGTTCCCAGAAACCCCTGCGTCAGTTTACACGCTCACCCTCTGTCTCCATGTCCTGTCCTTTGGGTGCCTCGCCGATGTCGATGGTGAACATCACAATCTTAGGGGTCATGGTGGACATCTTGTTGCTGAAGCAGAACTTGTAGATCCCGTCCATATGGGCGGCTACAGAATACTTGCCGCTGGACTCGCGGTCTCCTTTATAGATCTGCTTCCCATCCGGACCTGTAATCTGTTCAGGACAAACAATACATTAGGTAAACCTCATCAAAAACATCTGCGGGTGTCAAAACTTGTACAGATGTGTTGATAGTTAATATCTATGTGTGTGTGTGTGTGTGAGATAAATGTAAACATACACATGCATTTAAACACACACATTATATATATGCACATATGTGACCCTGGAGCACAAAAGCAGTCTTAAGTCGCTGGGGTATATTTGTAGCAATAGCCAAAAAAACATTGTATGGGTCAACTATGACTGGTTTTGTTGTCCAGGGTCACATATACACACACACACACACACACACACACATACATAGTATATAGTAACAAGCAAACTATTGGATTACAAATGGTACCAGGACCAAAATACCATAGTAATACCACAGTATTTGTGTTTAACAACCATCTGGTGGAAGCAACGTAAGACCAAACAAAACTAGATTACTCTTACTTTCACCTCGACCCTTCTAAATGCTATCAGTACACACAATGCCTTACATTAAGCCTATACATAATCTAGTATGTAAGCATTAATAATCACTAACAGCCAGCAATTCACTTCCGGCTTCATGCACCATCTGGTGTGAGCAGACCGCGAAACCCGCAAACATCCTACAGCGCCTGTTTATGGGCTAGTATTCATTGTTAATGACATTTATGAACATAAGAGGTGTTTTTTGATGCCCACCTCCACGTCGATGTCCAGAAATCCTCCCTCGGCGACCTCAAACATCAGGCCCATTTTCGTGCCCGAGTTGACGTTCTCATAGAAACACTCCTCCGCGTGAGCATCGATGCTCACAAAATAGCCGCTCGCCGTGTAAGACAGCGCGCCGAGGAGCACGACGAGTTCCGAGAGCGTAAACATGTTTGGTGCGCTGTATTAATGAGGGACGAAACCCATAAAAGAGACTTTACGCCGCGCTGGACCGATAAAGGCGGAGGTCTAGAGGGCGCGTCAGTGCGGCGCGTCGCGCGCTGTGTGTCGCAGCTTTGGTGACGTTTCTCCAATCGACTCCAGAAAACTCTCCGCCGCCGCGGCCTAGCGCTCCCGGTCCCTCTTTCCCGTCATTTTATCCACTCATGTCCGTCTGTCCAAACCCAAACCGAGCGGGAGAAAATAAAAACGGAGTGGAACAGTTGACTTGTCAGAGCGCTGGATTTATCCTGTAAAACAGGTGACTGCAAGACATTGACCTGAATTGTGTTTTACACAAGTACAGAACCGATTTATTTTATTACTACATTTATATGGAATTATTTTGGTGCAATTTGGCTTTTTTATTAAAAAGAACACAAACATTAAAATGCAACTCTGAGGGAAAAAATTTGTTTTTCTTTGATAACGATGATTAAAATATTTATATTTGCATAAAATACACATCCTATAAATTCATGTTTTTGTTTTTTTTAGATAATTTAACTTTATTTTATAATTTACTTAATTTCTGTAAAATTGTATTATATATATATATATATATATATATATAATATAGTATAGTATAAAATCATGATAATGAAAAATATATATATACAGTATGTACAGTATATTAAATTAAAATCTAAATATTTTTTTGTTCTGTTGTTCTTGTGTTCCGCCTCTAGAGGGCGCGTCAGTGCGGCGCGTCGCGCGCTGTGTGTCGCAGCTTTGGTGACGTTTCTCCAATCGACTCCAGAAAACTCTCCGCCGCCGCGGCCTAGCGCTCCCGGTCCCTCTTTCCCGTCATTTTATCCACTCATGTCCGTCTGTCCAAACCCAAACCGAGCGGGAACCGCTGCCGTATGAGGCGCTGAACACGGGACGGTCGATTTACCCGAAAAGCTCGTGAAATTACAGTAAACAGAGGGAGGGAGCGATGACATCCCGAAGGTGAGAAACTAGCAAAAACAAACCCAATATTCTCTCCATTTCTCATTTATTTTACATATCTTATCGCTGTCGGGCATCCTGTTTTCATGATAAATTAAACAAATGTTTGTTTCAAGTGTTTTAAGAGTGTAAAATGCGAACTGAGCGTGTTTAATTGAAATGTCAGGCAGTTTAATGATTTAAACCCAACAGGGCGAGACTGGACATGTTTGAGTCTGAAAGAGTCGGTCTGATGAGCAATTAACTGATGTTAGGACATTGAAAGTCTGATTAATGATCATGTTTCATATCTGCTGTTAATTTGACGACAGATGGGGATGATCAACAGGAACATGACACTGTTTTGAAGTATGACATGACAGCAGTGTGGTGTGAATTTGAGTTATTTTGATTATTGTAGTTATTGTATCTGGCCAGCTTGTGTTTATATTGTTTTCGTGTCATCTGCATTATAGATAGACAGAGATAAGATTAATAGATGGCTGCATAATTCATTATATAGGAAAACGAAAGTCAAATTGCATTAGAAACAAACTGTCAAAGCAAGCATCACTTGACAAAACAATTGACAAAAAGTTATGATTTGTGCATAATGCAATTGTTTTGGTGTCACTGTATATACACTGCTGTTCAAAAGTTTGGGATCAGTAAGATTTTTAATGTTTTTTTAAAGAAGTCTCTTCTGTTCATCAAGGGTGCATTTATTTGACCAAAAATATTGCAATTTAAAATAATCGTATTATATTTTAATATACTTTAAACTGTAATTTATTCCTGTGATCAAAGCTGAATTTTCAGCATCATTACTCCAGTCTTTAGTGTCACGTGATCCTTCAGAAATCATTCTAATATGCTGATTTAATATCAATATTGGAAACATTTTTGCTGCTTAGAATTTTTTTTGGAACCTGTGATACTTTTTTCAGGATTATTTGATGAACAAAGTTAAAAAGAACAGTGTTTACTTAAAATAGAAATCTTTTCTAACAATATAAGACTTTATTATCACTTTTTATCAATTTAACACATCCTTGCTGAATAAAAGCATTTCTTTAAAAAAAAAAGACTGACCCCAAACATTTGAACGATAGTGTATATTGTTGTGAAAGATTTCTATTTTGAATAAATGCTGTTCTTTTTAACTTTTTATTCATCAAAGAATGCTGAAAAAGTATCACAGTTTCCAAAAAAATATTAAGCAGCAAAACTGTTTCCAATATTGATATTAATTCAGCATAAAATTAGAATGATTTCTGAAGGATCATGTGACACTGAAGACTGGAGTAATGATGCTGACAGGATCACAGGAATAAATTACATTTTAAAGTATATTAAAATGGAAAACCATTATTTTAAATTGCAATAATATTTCACAATATTACTGGTTTTTCTGTATTTTTGGTCAAATAAATGCAGCCTTGATGAGCAGAAGAGACTTCTTTCAAAAACATTAAAAAATTATTGAACAGCAGTGTACACAAACACAAAGGCATATATTGCACTATTTTGTTCCAGTAATGTCTAGGGTTATCATAGATGACTATAACTAAACTTTGTTATTTGAAATAAAGTAAACGTTAACTGAAATAAAATAAAACACAAAATACTTTATTTCAGCTAGTTGACAAGGCATCATTTCTCATTTTAATTTAGTTTACCCTGATGTACAAAAATAAAACTGAAACTGAAATAAGAATGAATAAAAACTATCAAAAAATATTTAAAAAAATAATAAAAACAAAACCAATAAAAACACAACAAAATGACTAAAACTGTAACTAAAATTAAAATAAAGAGAGAAAATAAAAATGAAACTAATACAAAATATTATTTAAAAAAAAAACTACTAAAAATGACAAAAATGCACAACAAAAACATTAAAAATTAAATTTTAAATAAAAAAATATTAAAATAAATAATAAAAACTATAATAGTATATCAGTGATACTAAAATAACACTGATATTCTCTATATTTAATGTGCTAAAATGGGTTTATTGTTGAGCTGCATCTCTAGCTTCTGATTCTGAATGATCTATTTTCATATGATAGTCAGTGTTTCCCCTGCCATTATATTAGGGGGGCGGCCCGCCCCCCCAACGGCACCCCCCGCCCCCCTTGAAGGTCAAGTTAATATTTAATTATATTTTCTCTATAGCGCCAGATCACAACAGAAGTCATTTAAAGTGACCTTTCCTATAGAACAGGTATATACCTTGTGTTTATAAACCTAGGCCATAAACCTAGGGGAAACACTGATAGTGTTTAATATTTACTGACATTTCTGCAGTTACTTTTATGTTTACTGTTTATTTACTGGTCAGTAGCTGTTTTGTTTGCTGAATAAAAAGGGTTAAAAGGGTCATATGATGCGATTTCAAGTTTTCCTTTCTCTTTGGAGTGTTATAAGCTGATTGTGCATAGATAAGATCCCTGAAGTTGCAAAGACTAAAGTCTCAAAACCAAAGAGATATTCTTTATCAAAGTTAAGACTCTGCCACGCCCCCCTAAAACGGCTCTTGTGTACTGCAAACACATATTCATCACTGTGTCTGTCACGAGACTCTGTTCTCCTTTCGGGCTCTGTCTTTACATTTATTTTGAAAGATGAAGCTCGCGATTATGGTAAGGGGCGTTACATTTCCGACAGGTGCTTGTGGTGTTCGGCCAATCACAATGCACTGGTTCAGCTGGCCAATCAGAGCAGACTGTGCTTGTCGGAAGGAGGGACTTTGTAGAAAACTAAGCGTTTGAGAGAGGCGGTGCATAGAGGACCTACAATAATGTACAGTATTTGAAAAATAATGTGTTTTTTGAACATTAAAGCATGTCAACATATTCTGTTACACCAAATACACAAAATAATGATCTTTAAAAAAGCATCATATGACCCCTTTAATGCAAAATGCATCAGTATTTCATGTGAGGACGTGTTGATGGTGTTGTGTTTGTGTCTGTAGGTGGTTCCACCCCAACATCACTGGAGTGGAGGCGGAGAACCTTCTCCTCACTCGTGGTGTGGACGGCAGTTTCTTAGCCCGTCCCAGCAAAAGCAATCCTGGAGACTTTACGCTCTCTGTCAGGTGAGAGGTGACGGAAAAATCAGGATTCAGGCTGGGAATAAAAAGTGTTAATTGGAAAAATCATATATGTGACCCGTGCTGGCAAAATGAGTCGGAATGCGCACGGGCTAATTTTGAGCTACAGGCAAAAAAAAAAAGTGAATGATTTTGAGGGTTTCACAAAAATGAGTTCATTAAGCCCTCGTCTAGCGATCCCAGTGCTCCAAATAATAATTTTAGATGTTTAATTACCTTTATTTGTACGTTTTCTGAGAGGAGTACCTTTTCTCCGCTCGTTTCTCACGCTGACTGTCATCCGAAGCGCACACATAAAGGCGCTTTTGACAGCACGCGATCCCGATAAATATAGGCTACACATATACACAGAATTACAGTATTTAAGTATTCACGCAAACATAATCTGTTATGTCTTAAGGGAACGTTTGGGGAACTGTTGGAGAAAACATCTGATGTGTAACATTAATATTATGACAATGTTAATCTAACAATAAAAGAATCACTCGCTGCTCTTGATTGAACTACATTTGTAGGTTTAATAATCAATTTGTAATTAACAGACTAAAGGGATTTTTACATTTGATTATTTGGTTTTATTACTTGAATGCTTTTGTTTAGATGTAAAATGAAAAATGTAATGCATTATTTGTTTCTTATATTTGTTCTACTGTTTTTTTGCATCTGTTCTTATTTATAATAACAAAGATAAAATAAAAAAAATAGCTATATTGTGCTTATTAATATAGTAATAATTATTATTAAGAAAAGAACTGGAGGAAAAGATGCAAACATTGCTCTGTGATTTCGCTTTGGAACCTTCAGAAAACTTTATCTCGAGTTTTCTCAAAATTGACAAAAGCTGACTCTTATCGACTTCAAACAGGTGTAGCTCAGTCATTTTTCGTCCGATTCCAACAAATCATACGTCATTCTGAAGGTCTTAAAATAAAAATGTGCTCATTGTGACTCATTTTGCCAGAACAGGTCACATATTATGCACTTGACTACAGTGTAGAAATATCCTGCTAAATTTAAAAGGTAACAAAAGCTTACATTTGAAGTTTAAAAAAAGTCAGAAATTCATCATAAAATACTGACAGGGTTTACAGGATGGCATTATATTTACAACTGTATTTCATTAAGTGATATAATGTTAACATACCTCTCTACTTGAACTACAAACTAAACTCTATTTAAAAGCTATTTACCATAAAAAGTTCTGATATCCATCATAATAATACAGTACTGTGTGTGAATATCAGTGTTTATGAGTCTGTCAGCTGTCCAGCGACACTTGGTAGCTTAAAGTATTCGCAGTCTGTGTGTTTCTCTTCATGACACACGGATAACTTTTGTATAATGATGAATTCATCAAGCATTTGAAACCCTTAAATTAAAACCCCTTAAAACATTTTAACATAGATTACTCAGTATTAAAGTCATGGAAGGAGGGCACACACCGGCAGAACATCTGACATCTGGCAACCGCAAGCATGAAAGCTTGTGGAGGCTTGTTATAAATGCAAGATAATGAAAATGTAAAATTGAAAATGAAATGTTTTCAGGATTAATAACCAGTGGGCAAATATAAATTTATTGTGCAGCACTTCAATAAATTATATAGTAATTCATAATTTTTACTTGCAAAACCATAAATTTGACAGTGCTTTAAAGTAAAATTACATGTAATATGATGTTAAACCATTTGTAATTTTTCACATTATATGGCAAGATAGCTTACAGTTATGTACAGATATTTACTGTAACATTTTTTACTGTCTGCTATTATAAACTGAAGTTTTATATGCGCTGAATTGAAGCTCTTCTCATCACTAGGCGAAATGGCGCCGTCACCCACATTAAGATCCAAAACACGGGAGACTATTATGACTTGTACGGTGGAGAGAAGTTTGCCACTCTGGCTGAGCTGGTGCAGTATTACATGGAACATCACGGACAGCTGAAAGAGAAAAACGGAGACGTCATTGAGCTGAAATACCCACTCAACTGTGCCGATCCCACTTCTGAGAGGTGATTATCCGTCTGTCCTTCCATGATAGTTGTGTTTTATAGGCCTTTTTATTGGCGTCTGAACCTGAAAACCCTCCTCTGATGTTGTCCTTTATTTTTTGCAAGGTGGTTTCATGGTCACCTATCTGGTCGTGAGGCCGAGAAGCTGTTGACAGAGAAGGGCAAGAATGGAAGTTTCCTGGTGAGAGAAAGTCAGAGTCACCCGGGAGATTTTGTGCTCTCCGTACGGACTGGAGATGACAAGACGGACACCAGCGACGGCAAACCCAAAGTCACACACGTCATGATACGCTGCCAGGTAAAGGTCACTTACAATTTTGACTTGCACGTCACATTTGTTTTCTTTTAAATTACAAAGGGGTTAGGATGGTTAACTAAGTGTTAAACAACCAGCTAGTCATTTAGTGAGCTCAAATAATGTACAGTAGATTAAAAAAATATATTTTACTTGTTTATTAAATGAAAAGATGCAACTTTGCGATTTAAATACTCTTCAAGTAGTTGTTTCTTACATAAATATTTATATTTATAATAAATAATAATAATAATAAAAAAATATATATACACATATTTATTTATTAATTTATATGTCAGCAGTGCTTTAGATATTTAGGCTAAAATGCATTCTTGTGTTTGTGTTACTTAATTGTTGGTCTTGGTCTAGATTGGAATCCTGTTTAAATAGTTAGTAGGTTTATTTATTTCCAAATCACAGTAATAAAAAGGCTGTTTACCTGTGTTATGTTTTATAAATGGGCTGTAATTTCTATTATTCTTTTATCAGCATGATCTGAAGTATGATGTTGGCGGTGGGGAGAAATTTGACTCGCTCACAGACCTGGTGGAGCATTACAAGAAAAACCCTATGGTGGAAACACTGGGGACAGTCCTGCAGCTCAAACAGGTGTGTGATTGACACACATTGACATGAGAGTAATCATGCATTGAGAAGCGCACTTTTAAATCACAAAATCGTATGCTAAATGAATACACGTCTGTTCAAAAGATTGGGGTCAGTAAGAATTTTTTTAAATAAATTAATGCTTTTATTCAGAAAGGATGCATTAAATGGATCAAAAGTGACAGTAAAGGCATTTATAATGTTACACATTTTGATTTCAAATAAATGCTGTTCTTTTGAAGTTTCTATTCATCAAAACATCCTAAAATCAGAAATGTTTCCTGAGCAGCAAGTCATCACATTAGAATGATTTCTGAAGGATCATGTGACACTGAAGACTGGAGTAATGATGCTGAAAATTCAGCTTTGATCACAGGAATAAATAAAATACATGTTAATATGTATGTATTTTTATTGTATTTTTGATCAAATAAATGCAGTCTTGGTGAGCAGAAGAGACCCCAAACTTTTGAACGCTAGTGTATATGTACTTGGTACGTTTGACATCCCTAAACACTTATTTGAGATGAACTGAAAGAGATTATTCCTGGCATAAGAGTTTTCCAATGCAGTGTTATGTTTCTTGCAGCCTCTGAACACTACCCGCATCAATGCAGCAGAGATTGAAAGTCGGGTACGAGAGCTCAGCAAGCTGGCAGAGACCACAGATAAGGTCAAGCAGGGATTCTGGGAGGAGTTTGAGGTGAGAGCCACTCAGCACACAGTTTAGTGCCAGATTGACCAATGGTCTGTTCAGCTGATCAGTCACTGTATTCATTATAAAGGGTCGAGTTCTGACAATCACTTTTAATTCTGTGTCCACAGACGCTTCAGCAGCAGGAGTGTAAACTGCTGTACAGTCGCAAGGAGGGCCAACGGCCGGAAAACAAAAACAAGAACAGATATAAGAACATTCTTCCTTGTGAGCAAACATCATCATCATGCAGAATTCTCAAAATCACATGAACCACATGAACCACCAGTGTCATTACTATTGTTATCTCTGTGTCTTCTCCTCAGTCGACCACACACGAGTCGTGCTGACCGATGGTGACGCGAACGAACCGGGCTCTGACTACATCAACGCCAACACCATCATGGTAATAAAGGTGCCTTCAGGTCCTGTCAAATGATTCAGTATTTATAAGTGTAGTAACATGGTTTTTGTGGTTCCCAGCCTGATATCGAGACTAAAAGCAACAACTCCAAGTTGAAGAGGAGCTACATCGCCACGCAGGGCTGCCTGCAAAACACCATCAGTGACTTCTGGAGGATGGTGTTTCAGGAGAACACTAGAGTCATCGTCATGACCACGAAGGAAGTGGAACGGGGAAAGGTGAGGGGTTTCCCAATGGTTGGACCAGTTACAGACATTTTCATTCTGATTCATGGACTGGTTTTTATATTGCTAAAAGAAATATGCAAAGAAATATGCTAACTTTGACCGTATTTAAATACATTTGGAATGGTACTAAAGTTATTATTGTAGGATGTGAAATAATGTATTTTCAAAGCTTGAAATTTGTTGCGGAAAGTAGAGCTGCATAATTTGGACAATAAAAATCTCATTGCAAATTTATTTGGTTATTTATTTATGATTCAAATTGTGATTTTAAAATAAACAAAAAAAACTAAAAAACGTTCTCATGATTTTAAATAAAATATATGACATCTGAAATAAAATTAAATATAAAAAATCATTTTATTTCAGCTAGTTGCCAAGGCAACATTTCTATTTTAATTCAGTTACTTGATGAATTAACATAACTAAAACTATAATAAAAATAAATAAAACTATATAGACATTAAAAAATATGACAAAGCACAACAAATTACTAAAACTTAAAAAATAAAATGAAAATGGGAATTATAAAAATAAAAACGAATTCAAAATAATAGAGAAAACTATAATATCTCAATGATACTAAAATTGCTCCAAGTTTGCTGTTCTTGTTTGTAGGGATGCAAAATTTGGCTTATATTTGAATTTGATTAAATATCAGTATGGCTAGAAAAGAATAACAATAATAATATTAATAATTACTAAATAAAGAATATTTACAAAATGTAATACAAAATTAGAAATAATACTATTGTAATTAAACTATTTAAGTGACGTGACATGTGACATGTGGCCAAGTATGGTGACCCATACTCGGAATTAGTGCTCTGCATTTATCCCATCCAAAGTGCACACACACAGCAGTGAACACACACACACCGTGAACACACACCCGGAGCAGTGGGCAGTCATTTTTCCTGCGGTGCCCGGGGAGCTGTTGGGGGTTCGGTGCCTTGCTCAAGGGCACCTCAGTCGTGGTATTGAAGTGATGGTATTTCACTGTAAAATAAAAATCGAGTATTTAATAAAATAATAATAACCTCATTTTATTGAACAACAGTAAAATTACAATATTAACATTTATAGCCATCTTAATTTTCAAACGTTATGATAATTTTCAAATGTTAAACCATAGAACTTTTATTTTGGAGGAAAACTGTAGGGAGACTTTAAAGCTCTTTTGCTGATAACTAGGGTTGCAAAGAGGCGGAACATTTCCAGTCAATTTCCAAAACTTTCTGAAAGTTTCAAAACATTCTGGAAGGTTTTCTGGAAATATTCTTATTCTCATTGGAGAATTAGAAAGATTGTTGATGCATGTTGCGTCACTCGGATACATGCGGCGCACATATTTTTTTAAATAAATCACAGCCTTTGTGATTTAAAAATCACACTAAGCCATATCCAGTATTGGATGAATTTTTTAGCTCAAGCTGAAATATTGAAATATGAAATCCATATCCAGTAATGAAATATTCTGAGACGCATTGTGTTTTTCTTCACAGAGTAAGTGTGTGAAGTATTGGCCTGACGTGTCCGCGCTGAAGGAATACGGAGCCATGCGTGTGCGGAACGTGAAGGAAACGTGCGCACATGATTACATCCTGCGAGAGCTGAAGCTGTCAAAAGTTGGACAGGTACGGTAAAACCGAAATGGTTACATCACCACAAAACACAAGAGTCTTTCTCTAAGGCCGGTGATCTGGCTGATGTTGTAGGGTAATACTGAGCGTACAGTGTGGCAGTACCATTTCCGCGCCTGGCCTGACCACGGTGTGCCCGGAGACCCTGGCGGCGTGCTGGACTTCCTGGAAGAGGTCAAAATGAAGCAGGAGAGCATAACCGGGGCTGGAGCCATCGTGGTGCACTGCAGGTTATGAGAACACAATCAAAAAACAAGGTTTCTGTGGGTCTTAAAATTCACCCTTGCACAAATTAAGGCCTTAAAGGAACACTCCACTATTTTTGAAAATAAGCTCATTTTCCAACTCCCCTAGAGTTAAACAGTTGAGTTTTACTGTTTTCGAATCCATGTCTTGAATAAATGCAGAAAGTCTTAAATTCATAAATTTGTGGCATTACATGTTGCATGCACTGCAAAAAAAATTCATACTTTCCACAGTATTTTTGTCTTGTTTTCCTATACAAATATCTAAACATCTTCAAATCAATATACATTTACTTCAAATGCAAAATGAAGTTATGAAGTCTCGTTTTCTGAGAAATGTAACAACATTAAGTGAGTTTATACTTAAAACAAGAACAAATATCTGTCAATGGGGAACGAAAACTTGTTTTCCCTTTGAATCAAGTTGATTTTTCTGAGCCCATTGGCAGTTAGTTTTAATCAAACTTAATGCATTTTGATCAGTTTCTCATTTCTCAAGACTTGGAAGCTGTATTTTTAAACTTTGAAGAGTTGCTAATACATCACTAGAGAACGTATTGACTTATCCCTTCATTTTATTCCTTTAAGACTTAAGGTCTTAAATTTACCTTCATAAAACCTGCAGAAACCCTGAAAACAGACTTTCATGAGCTGATTTTAATGACCTCTTAAAATCAAAATATTTGTGGTTTTTAGTTCAGGTTTTAGTGTGACACATTAGTGCAGATATTTTCATCATCAAGCGAGTGTGTTGTAAACTTGCATTTCTGTTTCTCCTGCAGTGCTGGGATTGGACGAACAGGAACGTTTATCGTGATTGATATTTTAATAGACATCATCAGAGAAAAGGGTAAAGTTCCTACATCTAGAGTAATCTTGTGTTGATCCTCTTGTTGTTAATTAGTAGGCCCTACAGCCTAAATCAGGCCACAGTAGCAGCTTCGCCTGAAGTAAGATCTGACCCTGTCTGTGTTGTGCAGGAGTGGACTGTGATATCGACGTGCCCAAGACTATCCAGATGGTGCGATCTCAGCGTTCAGGAATGGTACAGACAGAGGCCCAGTATCGCTTCATCTACATGGCTGTGCAGCATTATATTGAGACTCTGCAGCGCCGCATAGTGGAGGAGCAGGTGTGTGCGAGTGACACTTATATTCATAGAAGAGAGACATTTCACACTATTGATAGTGTAGATTTGCAGTGTTGCCAAGTTATTTTGCTGTGCTTGTTTATGGGGCTGCACAAATTGGCTTATTTTGAATTTGATTTTATATCAATAAGACTGTGAAATAATGATAATAGTTATTAATTTCATAATGATTATTACTATTACCACATAAAAAATATTTACAAAATAATATTACTATTCCAAAATACTATTCCACTGTTAAAAAAAGTATTTAAGAAAAATATATAATGTACATATAATATAAAATATTACTAAAACATTTTTTTTTTACCAAAAAACGATACATTTACAGTACTAATATTTAGGCTGTCTAAATTTATTCATTTTTAAATATTAACCCTTAAAGACCTAGAACATTTTTGGGGCACCTGACACACCTGCACTTTTCTTTGTTTTTAAAGACCTATTCTAGCAGTCAGCATCAAGCGTCATATATCATTATAAACAGGAGAACTTGAAGTTTCAGTCTAGCTAATTTAAAGTCCCAGTTTTCCTTTTGTGTTCTCTAAGAATGAATGAATTTCCAGAATTTTAAGAAAAAGGCAAGCAACAATTGGGTGTTTTTTACTGTGTACTCAAACAGAAACTCCTGAACAATACAAACGATTCACAAACTACAAACAAAATGAGTGAGAAATATACAGAGTGCAACAGAAAAAATAGTGAAAATGATCTTTATGAACTATAAAAGAATAATTTACATAATATACATAATATAAATGATCGATCCGCTGGCTGTACTCCGCGTCGGAATCGATTTTACCGGGACATCGCCTAGTGACGCGAAGACAAATTCCAGTGCTTTATCCGATATGTACCGCTGTTTCATCCTTGTTTTTGGTTTGTTTTATGTCAAAGTACTCAGTCGTGTGTTTTTCTGGGCTTAATGATATAATCACGTGGCCTACGGAGCCACTGAATATCCAAATAAGACAAATGAGAATCTCCGCTTTACAACACTTTTTAAAGCATTCAGATAGGATTAGCGGTTCAAAAGTTATGA